TCAAAGCTCAGTACATCCAAGCATTGAGTAAAGGATTGGATCGCGTACACGTAAAACACCAAAATCCATCCATACACTCCATATGAGGGAGTGTACGGCCGTACACATGAGTGTACGGTCGTCCACATGAGTGTACAGATGTACACCTATGTTGGGCTATAAGGAACCCTCCATATGTATGTATTCCCTTCATTTCTAAGCCATTCTTCAGTTTTCCAAGCCAAGAACATCGATTTCTCTCTCAACTATCATCCCGATCTTCATCGCGATCTTCAAAAGTGGTAAGTGATTCTTACATCCTTCTTGTTATCCTTCCAAGCCTTGTAATCATCTCTTGATTCATCCATAAAAACATTTATTTTGTTTAGATCTTCAAGTCTCACCAAGAACACCAAGAACACACACACTTGCTCTTGGTGATTGTAAGCCCTTTTGAGCCTCCAAATCGTAAGTACTCCTTCCTAATGATTGAATCTTGTTTAGAACACCTGTTTAAGTCCCTAAAAATGCCAAGAATTCATGATCATGAGGTGTGTATGGCCGTACACCCATGTGTGGCCGTACACCCCTCGAAACACCCCTAAAGTGCTTCTAAAACGCCTTTCTAGCTTGAAGACTTGAAGAGCAATTATCCTACAAGCATCCCTAGCCTTGGAATATGATTTTGTGCACTTTTTACCATGAGTGTACGGTTGTACACTCCCTGGCCGTACACTCCTGTCCGCACACTCCACCATGTGGCCGTACACTCCCCTTTAGTGAATCACATGTGATTCCAACACTTGATCAAAGTGTTTCCTAGTCCAGTGAAGTGTTTCCTTGCATTTGGTTGCTTCAAAACACTATATTTATGTCAGTATATGCCATTATATGTCATTTAGGACTCGTTAAGTCTCGAGAGTTCATTCGTGGAGCTTTTCATCCTTACACACGTATTCGTTTGATTCATCCACATCAGGTGAGTTCATACCCCGTAATTAATCTTCTAAACTATTTTAAATGCTTTTGCGGGGGAGGGGGGGATACAAGTTGGACACAATTGATAGTTGTGTAATTATTTGTTATAACATCTTTTTAAGGTTTCTTATGTCTTATATGAGTGATCAAAACATTTCAATAACTCTTTTAAAGTTATGATTACTTTTTAGTTTATCAAAACTCCAGTTTAAAGTACAAGCATAACTTAGTAGTAAAATGAGTCTTTTCAATAACAATTCAAGTGAAACACTAGTAAACTATAATGGGTATAGTTTAGAGGTTAAGTTCATACTAGATACAATACATGATAACATAAGAGAACACACAATAAAGAGAAACAGGGAGGAAGATACAATACACGATAACAGAAAGAACATACTAAGATACTATAACAGAACAACCATGATAAGGTGCTATAGCATGGGACAACTACAAGATCTAATTATACCAATGAATCACTAACGCATTGTTCTAAGCAAAAGGTGATAGTTATATTGAGTATACATGATCACATAACTTTAATGTGAAGTTACACGACCTAGCAACTCGTTTGCTGAAGTCGAGTTTGGTTCCCAGAATCTTTTGACAGGGAGAGCGTTTAGTATGGGAGCTAGCCTTCACATTATGACTTTAATAAAACAAACATGTTTTAAGGTAATTAGTACGTCGTTTTGTCAATTCATAAGACAAATGAGTGCTTATATTTTCCTATTACTTTCATAAAGTGACAGTTCCACTTGAAAGTTAATGCAAACTATTTCCGAGTCAAGATAGTTATAAACTAGGGAAAACTTACATTTTTACAAACGACAAATAGAACAGTCGGGTGTAGTACATTCAGTAGAAAGGGACCATAACGCTAACCTTATGATTCCTTAATGCATACATCAAGAGATATATATTAATAATATCTGATAGGCAATAGGATGTGTGCTTTCTGCTTCATTTCCTGTTCCTTGTTTGGTTTTGGGCTTAGAGCGGATTCACCCAACCTATTATCCATTCAATTCCTTAATGCATACATCAAGAGATATATATTAATAATATCTGATAGGTAATAGGATGTGTGCTTTCTGCTTCATTTCCTGTTCCTTGTTTGGTTTTAGGCTTAGAGCGGATTCACCCAACCTATTATCCATTCAATAGTGTATATATATATATATATATATATATATATATATATATATATATATATATATCTTCCGTATACATTCACTACAAGAAAAAATACCCTTTAATGATGCACAAACAATGACACTCGCTGATTTACGATACGCATTTTTCTGTTTCCGTAAACATAATGTCAACCTTTCAAAATTTAAGGGATAGAGGACACGTATTTTTGCGTGCCTTAAAATTAATGTCCATAAAAAAATACAAACACGGAGGGCACTTGATTTTAATGCGTGTCCTCTAGAAATGTCGCTTTATATATATATATATATATATATATATATATATATATATATATATATATATATATATATATATATATATATATATATATTTTATCAAATGCGTGATTTTAAATGGGCAAAAATGAAATGCTCTGAACTTCTAAAATTTTGAATTGCCCGCTTCTTCATTCTCTCCTCTGTATCTCCATTCATTCACTCATTCCTATGGCTTTTCCAAGAACCATTCTACATAGGGCTTTTTCTAGAAAATTCAAAACGCTCTCCGATTCTCGATCGGGTCTCCCAGGCCTCTGCAATAATCGAAGATCTCACTTCAGGTTACTTCTTCTCCGGTGAGCATAGGATCACCTCCCCACGTCCATCCTCCTCATCATAAAATCATCCAACTAGGGATTTTTTTTCTCGATCTCTTCAGGTCCGTCCTCCCAAAATAAGGAAGAAACTAGTTTGATTTCTCCCCTAAAACCTGGACGACCTTGCTCCTCGCTTCCATCACTGTCCCAAGATGTCTTCATTGTTCCTCCCTCGGTGTCTTCCATCAGGTAAGTTGTCGGACCATCTCATCTACTCATTTTTTACTATCTTTATTCTTGCTCTCTTTTTTCTCAATTTTTCTTCTCCTTTCTCTATTCTCCCTTTTCTGTTGAATGTTGTTGGCAGTTAGAATCCAGGGGAACAATAGAGGAGAGTCAAATGGTAGTGGTACACCACTACATTTTGGTGTAGGTGTAGGTTAGGGATGGTTACCAACACCAACAACCCTCATCCTATCCCAATGCCCTCATGAAATCGACTCAACGTACATCACCATGCTCAGAACCACTGAATTCTTGGTTAAAACCACATCATCGAGGTATGTGTTTTACATTTAATTTCACCTGTGATATTTCAACTTTTTTTAGTTATAAAAGATCAAATTTAAAGATTTCTGCTCTTCGGATCTTCTAATTTCTCATTTCTACTGGTAACCTCTTATACCTTCTTTCCTTTCGTGTTGTTCATATATTCTAATTTCTCACATTCTACCCCTGTTTAATCTTGTTAGTGTTATCCAATTTCAACTTCAGTCGGTCTGATCTATTTGTTTTGCGTTTAATTAATGGATGTGGTTTACTTACTTAATTGAATTTTAGTTAAATCGCACAGGAAGGATTAGGTCTCATAGTTGTAGATTGAGATGAGAAATTTTAAGAAAAAAAATTCAAACGAAGCCTTAAATCAGTTTTTTATTTTCATCCAACCTTGCTTCAATCTGTCCTATTTTATTACGTATAAACTTCTGGCATATCCTGTTCTTCTTGATGGATTCAAAAAATGCCTGTGCAGATCTTGGAAAACCACAAATCCGGGGCTAGAATAATTTCAGAACCAGGCTCATGCCCTTCACTGTCATTTGCATAGGGAGTCTCAGGGGTAATGTTATTGGATAATTCCAAATTCTGATTGGTGTTGCTTCAATCTAAAGAATTCATTAAACTGTTGGGGAATGATCTGAAGAATTCATTCGAAGGATGGTATGCACAAATTATGAATTTACCCATCACTAGTGCTTCAGTTGTAGCTGTGCAGAGGACATCGATCACTCTCGGGTTTACAAAGATTTTATAACTTCAACAAAAAAAGAAAAAAAAAAAGTTTTCATGTTATCATTTTTCTGTTTTATTGAAGTAAACCGATAATTTCAAATGTGTTATGTTACCTGTGAAGAGAATCGTCTGCATGGTCAAGTGATGGAGAAGAATTTACTTGTGTTTCTGTGTTGAAGAAATTAAAGAAAAAGTAAATGAAAAGGCGAACAATGAGCAAAACAAAGTTATTGTTCTTGAGAAGGAAGAGGAGAAGAAGATAAATTCTAGCATGAAAGTTGAGAATGTGTCACGTGAAGTGGGACCCAGTGTGGATCTTTCAACATAGAAAGTGTCAAAGGAGGAACGTCATTTTCTAGCTCAAAATCGAGTTTAATTCTAAATTATTCATTCTATCTAATATATTAATACATAGGTATATATATTAATATATTATCAGATACAAGAGAAGGCAGAGAGGAAAGCTTGTGAATGCATACTCTGCTCAGGATCTGGAAGGAATCCTTGTATGTTTTCCTATTTTTGATCTACAACTATTAGCATATTCTTCTTTATGATTGAATTTATTGACATTTAGAAAATTTGGATATTTTTTTTAGGTGAAAAAGACTAATGTGAGTCCAGAGCCTGAGCCTCTTTGTTATGAGGATAGAGAGTTAGAGCTGGTAGAAGCATCTGATAATCTTGAAGCACAGGATAATTATGTACTACATCTGTTCCTTTAGCAAGGAATTCAAGTCTTGCCAAATCCTATGCTATTTCAGCATAATCTTCATTTACAGCATGGAAAAAAAGCATCAATTAAAATCTATTTATTTTGGTGAACAAAACAAAAGGTTGATTTTTCAAACTACAAAAGAAATAAATGAAAGTAAGAGTAAGAAAATACATGGCTTAACTGAGTAACATTCTCAAAGCAGCGCTAACACCAACAGTCAAAAATCCATTTACATTAATACCAGCTTCCTTGATAGCCTGAGATAAACAAACATCATCAAATATTGTGTTTAAAGGATTAATGATTATATTGCTCCCAGCTTTGATATATTTTGAAGTCAGAAATCCAGAGGGACAAGCTGCCGTATTAGAAACCCATACAGGTATCATTTCCAAATGTATGTATACCTTAATTTGATAGAATTCTTCAGAAGAAAAATCTTGTCATCCTTGTTTTGGAGGTGAAATTTGGGATGATGATTTGATCTTTGTGAGGTCTATCAGTCCTCCGAAGCTTTTAAATTTAGAAAATATGTTAGTTTTTGCAGGTGTGGTTATTGGTAATGATTCAACTAGTATTATCAATGATACACCTATGGAGTCAGCTTCTGGCAAGGTAACTTATGCTCACTGCGAGGTTGAAAAAGTCATCTATGGAGATATGGTGGCTGCAGAAAATGATAAGCCAGAAGATGTGGTAGTTGTTGATCATTCACTGAAAGATATTGTAACTGATAGAGCCTCAAAGTCATCTTCTCGCAAACTGAAGGATGATGTTCAATACCAAAATGAGAACAGTGTATCTGAAGACATTATAGCTGCTGGAAGTGAAACGCATAAAGGTGTTGATAATGACTGATTTTGGCAAATCGTTTATTCTTTTTTTGAAACGTTTCTAGGATCTTATTAAACAATATATTTTAAGATTAATAAGTTTTAGAAGAATTAAATTGGCAAATCGTTTATTCTTTTTTGAAACAATTCTAGGATATTATTAAGCAATATATTTTTAGATTAATGACTAATTTTGGCAAAAGGGATATTATTCTTCTAGGTGTAGTTCTTTATTTCTCATCTTATTGGATTTATTTATCAAAACATTACTAACTTATCTGATAAGCTTATTATGTACATCGGAATCAATTCACATATGAAATTCGAGAGGGTGGGAGAAAACGGGTTCTCTCAGCTGCATGGTGTCACACCCCAAAACCGATAACGGCGGAATACGTTTCGGGGTGGAGGACGTCATGTACAGTATCATCACAATTGTATAATAGTAAAAACAAGAAACATACAATCATTTCATTACATAGTGAGTTTAATTATAAGTGTGTTCTGTAAAGTTTCAATAGACACCAAAAGTAATACAAAAACAAAAGATGGATCTTGTATGCTCCATCTTCTCCAAAATGTTGCACCTGTACCTATCTATCTTTGACCTGAGGATACAAGTTATTTTGAAAACGAGTATCAGCATAAAGCTGGTGAGTTCATAAGAATTTAGTGTAAATTTTTGTATAAAATGCGTTAAAACTTATAGTGTGAAACACTGCAATTTACATTTATAAGTAGTAGAAAACCCTAGAAAATCCTATATTTTCCAGAAAATACATCGCAAGTGAAAAACTCAAAGTTGCATGTGAGTCTTATCATTAAAAACCGTTTGTTGTAAAAGTATGGTACTAAAATCTCCAGTATGTAGTGTAGATAGAGGAAAAGTTATGCCTGTTGTTAGTATTAATGGTGTAAACTCCCATTAGTATATTATTTACTTCGGGATATTAGCTTAGACTTTAGTCTTACTATTTTAGTGTGGATACCGTGTATCCCTTTTATGTGACCAATAGTGTGAACAATAGAGGATCCCATGACCTTCTCGGTCATACATAGTGTAGTGAAGTAGTGCCATCCCTGGGCCCGTTTGGCTCGGACTGAGGTTAACAATCGGGATATAATAGTGTCTGCCCCGTATAGATCTATACATGTAGCGTTGCCTTCCTTCCGGAAAGCTCTGGTCACAGTAGGTAGCGCGTAGAGTATCTTGTAGAGAGTTACTGTGTTATCTTCCGGATTAATGCTTTCTCATGTAATATAGTGTAGTAGTCTTTGATGTAGTTCATAGTGTGTTCTCTTATTCGTGTATCGTTTTGTAATAGTATGAATTATAGTATGTATATTAGTAGCGGTAACGAGTAGTAGTGGCCTTAACTATACCTATTATAGTTAACTTAGTGTGTATGGTTCTTGGCAATTAAGTAATATAAACATCGAATTAGATGAAAACGCTCGTACCTAACACCAATATACATGATATATAACTAAGAAATCAACGACAGTCGGACGGATAACAAATACCCTAAGCCCACAATCAAACAAGAACAGGAAATAAGGCGAGCTATCGGTCCTAAGTCCTTCAAGTCTTACTTATATAAATATATTAGTGTAGATACAATTTATAAGAAAAGTAATTTAATAAAAATCTTAACCAAAGAAACCATTTAGAAAATAGTTTATTTATCCAAAATAGTTTTGAAAACGTAACGTTCTTTTATAAAGCATAGTGATAAATCACATGTGATTTGAACTACGGGTAGTAAATCACATGTGATTCACTTCCATAAAAATGTATATTTTACTTGTATCCCCCCACCCCCTAAAACATATGAAAACATTAGAAAGGTTCATTAAGGGGTATGAACTCACCTGAAACCGAGTAAATCGGGTGGAAGTGTCGGTTGAGCGTTTGGTGTCAATTAAGGACTTGTACACCTTTTAAGACCCTATTAACATATGAGATATATGTTTTACAAGTAATTAGTCACTTATACTTTTTATTAAAACATTTACATATCCTAAAATCAATTCGAGGTCTTATGGGTTAAAAGTGGTTCTCGGGGATTGTACAAGACCAAAAAGAGGGTACTAGGGAGTCCAAGAGTTTACTCCCTTGGAGTTTACATCCCAAAGGCCACTCCTTGGGAGTTTACGGCTGTAAGCCCCATGGCTTGGCCGTGAACTCTTGTTCACTCCCCAATTTTGATGCTAAGGCCCTTAAATCAATCCCTTCAATTTTCTAGTGAAGGTCTAGGGCTAATTAGGGGGTTTAAACCCTCATTTGGTGAGGTATGGGGGAGTTTACAGTCTAAGCTTATGCTTGGGCCGTAAACTCTAAGTTACCCCACAAACATGATGTTTAATGGTCCCAAACTCGAAATGGAATTTCCTTAAATCATATCTCAAGCCTAAACATGCTTTGGAAGGGTTTTTGGGGCATTTTTGCATGGATAAGGGGTGTTTACGGCCTAAGCATGTGCTTGGGGTGTAAACCCTCTTTTATGCCCTAAAAACCTATGTTTTGATGATTAAACACTCCTAGGTAAATTCCTTAACTAGTATATAAGCTTAATAGTAGAAAAATTGGGAGTTTTGGCAACTTTTTGGGTGTTTACGGCCTAAGGAGGTTCTTAGGCCATAAACTCCTTGTTAATGCCCCATTCATATGATTTTTGAGCTATAACAACCATAATGCATGTTTAGAACAAGTTAGGGAGGAAAATCTTACGTTTGGGAGCCGGAAATTACGGTTTTGGAGCCAAAAACGAGCTAGAGAGAGAAAGTAGTGAGAGAGAGAGAGAGTGTTTGAGTGGTAAAAGAGTTCAAAGAGGTGTTCACCTTCCTTATATATGCCTTGGGTATTGCACCCGGTACACGACTACCCGATGCTAAAGTTTAACGGGGTTTAAAGTTTTTATCCGGGTTAAGTGGTTGAAAAAAATAATATAACTTTATTTCATTAAATGGAACTAACATTAACGAGTTATATTTATTTTTTTTTTACTAAAATGATAATCACATGAAATATAAATAAATAATTAAATATTCATTTATTTTACGACTCCAAATTACGGAACTTTTATAAATGACATATTCCGTTAGCGGAAACGGAATTATATAACGGATTTAACGTTGGGTTGTCACATCATCCCCCCGTTAGGGGAATTTTGTCCCGAAATTTAGAATTCAAACAGTCAAGTTATTACAGTACTACTAAGTGAAGAGATGGGGATATTTGAGTTTCATTTGATCCTCGCGCTCCCATGTGAATTCCGGTCCCCGCTTGGCGTTCCACCGAACCTTCACTATTGGGATGCGACTTTGTTTCGTTCGTTTTACTTCTCGATCCATAATCTCCGCAGGCTCTTCCACGAAGTTGAGGCTCTCATTGACCTCTATCTCGTTAAACGGGATCACGAGAGTCTCGTCGGACAGGCATTTCTTCAAGTTTGAGACGTGGAAGGTAGGATGTATGTTACTTAGCTCATGAGGTAGGTTGAGTTTGTAAGCTACAGGGACGATTCTAGTGAGAATCTCAAAAGGCCCTATGTACCTTGGGTTTAGCTTTCCACGCTTTCCGAAGCATATAGTGCCCTTCCTGGGTGAGACCTTCAAAAGGACTCGGTCTCCCACCTGGAATTCCAAGGGTTTTCTTCGTTTGTCTGCGTAGCTTTTCTGTCAATCTCTAGCGGCTTTTAATCGTTCGCGAATCTGTATAATCTTCTCGGTCGTTTCTCGAATGATCTCCGGACCCGTGAGAGTGCTGTCAGGGACTCGTCCTTTAGCTAATTGAGTGTCACCCACCTCAGCCCAGCACAGAGGGGATCTGCACTTTCGGCCGTAGAGAGCTTCGAATGGAGCTGCCTTGATGCTCGTATGATAACTATTGTTGTAGGAAAACTCCACAAGGGGTAAGTGTGTATCCCACGATTTACCGAAGTCAATCACACAAGCTCGTATCATATCTTCTAAGGTTTGGATCGTCCTCTCACTTTGTCCATCAGTCTGCAGATGGTAGGCTGTACTCATATCTAGCCTCGTCCATAGTGCCTTTTGTAGTGATTGCCAAAATCTCGAGGTAAACCTACTATCTCTATCTGAGATAATAGATATAGGGACGCCATGCAACCGTACTATTTCCTTAATGTATGTTCTTGTGAGTTTCTCCATCTTGTCCGTTTCCTTGATGGGTAGGAAGTGTGCAGACTTGGTCAATCTATCGATGATGACCCAAATGGTATCCAACCCACCCGCTGTCTTGGGTAGTTTGGTTATGAAATCCATTGTGATCCGCTCCCACTTCCATTCTGGTATCTCCGGTTGTTGGAGGAGACCCGATGGCTTCTAGTATTCGACCTTTACCTTCGCGCAAGTAAGGCACTTACTCACGAAAGTAGCAATCTCTGCTTTCATGTTAGGCCACCAGTATAGCTTTTTGAGATCCAGATACATCTTATCCGAACATGGGTGGACGGAGTATCAAGTGTTGTGTGCTTCCTTCATGACCAAATCTCTAAAACCTCCGTGGCGTGGAGTCTAGATCTGGTCCATGAGATAGTAGGCTCCGTCACCCTTAACATCCAAGTTCTTATCCATCCCACATAGGGATTCACCCGCCATATTCTCAGGATTTAAGGCTTCGAGCTGAGCCTCCTTAATCTGTGCGGATAGATGTGAATGGATAGTCATTGTTAGTGACTTGACTCTTCGGCCAGAATACTCTTTTCTACTCAACGTGTCTGCTACTACATTGGCTTTTCCCGGGTGATAGTGAATCTCGCAGTCATAATCATTGAGTAGTTTGACCCACCGTCGTTGCCTCATATTGAGCTCCTTTTGGTTCAATATGTGTTGGAGACTTTTGTGGTCAGTGTATATTGTGCTCTTCGTTCCATACAGGTAATGTCTCCAGATCTTCAGAGCGAAAACAACCGCCCCTAACTCGAGGTCGTGCGTGGTGTAGTTGATCTCGTGTGTCTTCAGCTGCCTTGAGGCATAGGCGATGACCTTACCTCGTTGCATCAAGACACAACCGAGCTCTTGATTCGACGTATCGCAGTACACTACAAAATCTTCTGTCCCTTCGGGAAGGGATAATACCGGTGCGGTGCATAGGGATCGTTTGACGGTCTGGAATGCCTTCTCCTGTTTCTCTTTCCAGTCAAATGGTACTCCTTTCTATGTTAACGTAGTGAGAGGTTTTGCAATCCGAGAGAA